GTACGATGTATGTATGTACGATGTATGTATGTATGTATGTATATACGATGTATGTATGTGTGATGTTTGTATGGATGTATGTTTGTATTGATGTATGGATGTATGATGTTTGTATGTGTGATGTATGTATGTATGATGTTTGTATGTATGATGTTTGTATTGATGTATGTATGTGTGATGTTTGTAAGATGTATGTATGTATGATGTTTGTATGATGTATGTGTGTATGATGTATGTGTGTATGATGTATGTGTGTATGATGTATGTTTGTATGATGTATGTGTGTATGATGTATGTGTGCATGATTTATGTGTGTATGATGCATGTGTGTATGATGCATGTGTGTATGATGTATGTGTGTATGATGTATGTTTGTATGATGTATGTGTGTATGATGTATGTGTGCATGATTTATGTGTGTATGATGCATGTGTGTATGATGCATGTGTGTATGATGTATGTGTGTATGATGTATGTTTGTATGATGTATGTGTGTATGATGTATGTGTGTCTGATGTATGTGTGTATGATGTATGTGTGAATGATGTTTGTATGTATGATGTATGTATGTATGATGTATGTATGTATGTATGTATCATAATAATGTATGTTTATTTTGTTTCCAATTTAACTCACATGGGGTATCTTTTGCGCTGTCCTGACCCCCGCAGATAACCTCTCCACTGCGGTCCTTACGGCGGGCTCTGATGGAGAAAGTCGCTACGCACAACTCAGCTCTTTCGACAGCTATGGCTCTTCTTATTACAGCCAGTCGTGAGTTTGTCTGTGTTTGTGGGTGCTTTGGTATGTGTAAATGTGTGTGTGTGTGTGTGTGTGTGTGAGAAGGGTGGTGGTGTATTAAAGGTGTTTGTGTGCTTATGTGTTTGTGGCTGTATGTGTGCGTTGTGTGTTTATATGTTTGCGTGTATGGTGTGTAGCTGTATATGTGTGTATGTGTGTATCTGTGTGTGTATGTGAGTGTGCGTGTACGTGTGTGTAAGCGTATGTGTGTTGATATGTGTGTAGAGAGGGAAAGGGGGGGGGGGCTCATGCGCTGTCAAACTATAAATCATTAAAGTGTGTGCCTGCGTATTATTGATTATAAATAATCTATTACATGAGTTGTGGTGGTAGATCAGGATTTGTCCTACGAGTGAAATTGCTAAGTTGTAATCACGAGTTTCCACTAGATCTAGTGATTACAACTGACAATTTCACAAGTAGGATAAATAATGGTCTACCACAATAAAGAGTATAATAATTTGAGTATACCATGCTGGCGAAATTCATCCGCACAAACAAAGTTCAAATGACAATCCAACTGGACAAGTATATCCATTCTAGAGTCTCACATGAAAACAAAATGTTCATGCCCGTCGGGAAATCTGGATTGTTTTCCTTTACTTTTAGCCACGCTAATGTACAAGTTGTGCTATCCATACGTCTCCCTTCGCGAAATAAACACCAAACAAAACAATAATAGCGTAAATATATGCACAGTAAGCAGAAAACGTACGATTCAAAAGTTCAAACACACTGCATTAATGTGGCATGTTGTCGTTAGAATAGAGATTACTCTGACTTTGATTTTAAACTTCGCTGCCAAAACGAACCAAAGGCAAGGAGATGTTCGCTAGCGCATTGCATTACAATGATCAAAGATGGAAAAAAGGGCTTTTTAGCAACGAAAGTTGTGATGTTCTTTGGAAACTGATGTGCTGATTCCAAATATGTAGTTAGTTTGGGTCTATTAGATCAGGATTTTGCAGAATTCAAATAGATCTATTCGAGTTCTGGTATTCTCGATTTTATATGAATAACAGAATAACAAGGGAAAAAGCTTTGAATTATTTCCAGAAAAGTAATAGACCAAGATAAGAGTTTTGTACTTATATAATGTCTAATATCATATTTTCCCCCTACATATTGTTTAAAAGTTTAATTTTCTTTATTTCTTTGGTCGATTGTTAAGTACACGTGGTGATAGAATTAATATAAACCAAAATTCGAAAGACAATGCAGGTAAGCTTAAACAGTGG